AATGCAGGCATACACATAAGGCAATTTAAAAATTTTCTAGTATTATGCAAATGTTACTTTTTATATACTCATTACTGCCAGTATGATTGCATATCTCAAAACTTACCCTTCTCACCTTCCCATTCTTTGCCCCATTAAAATTTAATTACATCTTGAAATTTAAGTTTTGCAAAACAGGGATTTAAAAAAAATGACATTGGCATCTTTAAATAAAAAAAGAAACCGGAGCTCTTGAAAAATATTTTACATATGAAATGATACATATGGATTTTTTCTTTGTTTCATGAATAGTCTTTTACATGCCTTTAAATCCACAATGTGAAACGAATCAGTAGCACACTTCAGGGATACCATGGCAATAATAATGCATTTGGAACATTAAGTGTCAAATTTCCCTCACATATTTCAAAAATTGTTTTACATTTTTCTGGTTTAACCTCTCTTGACACCAGTGAACTTAAGGCTTGTAATTGAAGGATAAGTGAGTAAAAAAGCAGTTCAAGTGATAATATATCCATTTCAATTCCTATTTTCTGGACGGAGACCTTTTATGCTAAGTTCATGTGAGAGMAAATTTTTATGACAAAATTATAACCCTCAGATAGACATTACTCAGGCGGGCTGAGATCTGTCCTGGTATAATGGATTTTGTGACAATGAAATGCAAGAGAATCTCCCAAAAGCTTTGCCTAAGAAAATTCTGACAGTAGCCTATGTGCTGCCGAAATTTTCAAGATGCTATTATGAATCATTATAGAAAAATGGCTGGGTATTTTAATCATGAAATACAATTGTGTAAAAAGGAGAAAGATGAGTACAGGAGAATCTTTGACATTTTGCTTTGTATTCATATTAGCCTCACTATGTAGAAAATGTTGCTTTTAATGTGGTTTTGCACAATAAAACCTTGTGGTTTGGAAGGGCTCGTGTATTTGTTTCCCCTAATTTGAGTTCTGCCCATAATTTTTTGCATATTACCAGCCGAATGAAAAGGAAACATCCTCTGTCACCAGATGTAATCTGAACTTCAGATCATTCCTTGTAGATTCATTCTTTCCTAAGGGGGAGAACACTGTTTCTTTTTCCATTTCAATGTGTTGATTTTTTGAGGTATCTGCATAAAGTTTCAGTACTGTACTGTGCACAATTAAAAAAAATCACATCCTTGGCAAGGATCATAATTTCATAACAAATCAGCAGGTTAATGATTTTCTGAAATTTTAAGATTTTTGATTTTCCTGTTTTTGATCATTGGAAATATTTTATATTTTCCATCCACCAAATGGAAGTTTTTATATTTTTTTCTGAAGATCATTAAAAAGGGAAAGAAGAAACTAATAGTAATAAGCACAATAACAAAAAGGAAGTCAATGAGAAACTATAAAAAAGACTGGAGTTGGCATTTTCACACTTTTATGTGTGAAAATATGATATTGCTCTGTTTGTTTTGGTACCATCCAATTCTTTCACAAGAGGAAACCACCTGAGCCAGTTCATTACAAGACCATGTACTTTGTCCCAAATACAAATAATATGGATATCATTAGCTTAACTTGATAAGCTTCTATTACCTCAAATTCTAACAAAAACCTAATAGATGGGTCTGGCAGGCAAAGATGATGGTAGTTGGCTGATTGTTGTTCAGTGGTAGAATCAGGATTCCAATCTCCACCTCCTGGTTTCTACTCCCATGATTTTGCGTAACACCATAGCATCCTCCAAAAGTGTCCACCTAGGGCACATCTGGAACTGGTTTCCCAATTGTTCCTGTATTGTTGCATTCATTAGGATTAGGCTTCATTGGGAACAACAGTGATTCAAATCAACAGTAGATTAATTAAGACCTTCCTTTCTCTTTTCTTTCTTCTCTTTCTCCTTCTTCTTCTGTGCTCAGAATTGAACCCAGGGCCTTGTTCAAATCAGGGACATGCTCTACCACTAAACTGTACCTATAACCCCTATTTATTTGTCACATTTAAGTCCTAGGTGGTGTAGACCTTGATTAGCATCTCTAGTTGGTGAAGTTCTATGGTTCCAGGCTTCTCCTAACAGTTTCTTTGCTTTGATTCTCAAGATCACTTAGGGTCCAAAATGATGGACAACCATTAGCCATCACAATTGTATTATAGCCCAAAGAGAAGAGAACAAGATGAAGGGCCCAAGTGAGTGTTCCAGAGGTCTTGGAACTGAGCCTCCTAGACTGTAGCACATGATGCTTCTTAAAACTCATAGGCCAGAACAATACAATGGCTGCTATGATTTGCAAGAAAGTTTTGGAGATTTTATTTGGATGGCCATGTGTCTAGTTCAAAGTTGGGAGATCTCCTATAAGGGAGAATAGAGTGAAGAAAGAGGGAAAGGAAAGAGAGAAGAATGGATTTTAGAGGATGCCATGCAGTAGTGAAGGTCCAGGTGGTCAGGTATGGTTTATGGACTCCATTGGTTCTTACAGATACTCAGATAAATAAGTGTCCAACCAAGATTACTTACTGYTGCTGCTTCATAATTCGTGAATTCAGGGAACTTTGACATTAATTTAATATTATAACACCACATTGTAGATTTTTGGGGCCAATGCATAGTCTTCTTTAGGAAATCTCATTTACATTTTCTATATTAAATATAAATTGCTAGTTTATAATGGTGAGAACCACATGGTGAAATTAAGATGAGTTATCTGTCCTTGACTTATCCCCTGACAGGGGAGACCAATATCCATCCATTTGGAATGTCAAAATAACTTAGACTTCTTTTGTGACGGTAAGGTGGCCAGGGAGAACGTGAAAACTGAGAGAATTTGCATGCTCTCTATAACACTTTCTACCTTTCTCTGGAGATTAAATCTTTGCTTTTTTTGTTTAAATTAGCCATAGGGGTTTGTGTTCCATGAGAAATAGTAACTCCCTTCTGGAGGTCTAATGTTTGCTTAGCCGATGAGTATTCCTGTGATCAAAGAATGGTGTGTGGGATATAAGGAGGAACTTTTGACAGGACATTTAAAAATCAGTTTAGACTCATGCTTCTCACTGGAAGTTCATTTATTGCATGGTAAATTTCCTCAGGGAAGTGAGTTGTGTATCTCAGCACGAGACCATTGCTCTCAAATAACAAATTTTCGAAACATGAAAAAAAATGCCCCTCAAGTGAATTTAATAGGAAAATTGGAAAAGAAATGTTGTTTTAGAAGATTTTTTTTATTAGGATATATTATCAAGAATATTATAGGAGATAGCAGAACTTGTAACTTGAGCACTACGCCCTTTTCCTGATAGAGGGGAAGTGTATGGGAAGACTCAGCACAGATTTCCCAAACATTTTCATAAAAATGAAACTTGAGTTTTTAAACTTTAATGCAGATATCTTCCTTCACATATTTATTTTCATTTTCATATGAAGTCAAAGAGGCAAACATACCCTAGAAAGCCATTCAAAAAACTATTTGATTAGGATAAAGAATGATCTTGTAGGATTTTTAACTTTTAGCTAGTCAGATAATTTTTTTCCTAAGAAAATAAATATCAAACTGAATAATAGCTCAAATAAGTTGTATATAAAACTTTTGTGTCTTTTACAAATAATACTGGATGGACACAGGACATCTTCAACAACTGGAATTCTCTCTCACCTCCTCCATCTAAAATCCTACTAGAATTAGAGATATTTATGTGAATTTAGGGGTAGAGCTGAGTTAAAAACCCTTTCTCAACTGAGTAAGTGTGAAYGAGTCTATAATTCCCACATGGCATATTTAAGGGAATAAATTGACACTCCTATGTTCTGAAACCAGTTTGGAATGCTAAATATTTAGGTATAGGTATTATATTTTTTTTTGTGAGACAACATATTCTCAGACAAAATTTTGTCTTTCACTTTCTTGTCACTGTTCCCTCCTCGACCTGTAATGAAATTTTGTTTTTTTTTAATATTTATTTTTTTCTAGACAATTTTGCATGAGAAAAATTTGCATGAGGAAATTTTGCATGAGAACATTTTGCCTACCTCCTCACTATCAGAAATGCCATCATCTTGGAGATTTAATGATGTCCATGCTTCTGGAAGTACCTAAAGGATTCATGAGGAATGTTCCAGGTTATTTGTTGAGTACATTTCTCAGGACCTTTCAGGATCCTCAGAATCTATTGTCAGAGTGTTTGGAAAAATAAGTTTATGGGAAGTCAAGGTACTCTCTTCCTGTCCTTTAAATTCAGCCTGTGGGGGCCATTTGTGTTCTGAATTTCCAGAATGTAGATACCACCACTGTTGTCCTTTGACAAGGGGTCAATGTTGAGAATATTAAGGGATCAATATTTGGGGGAAAAGTATTTTGGAAGAGCATCTTAAACAACAGGCTAACAGACTGAACACTGGTACCAAGTTACCATGATTGCCAGTGGTTGACCAGACTATTTATCTCCTAATGCATCTCCTGGTCTCCTCTCTTTCCATCAGGAGGGCAAGGCCATAGTTGTGTCTGTCACTGCTGAGAGATGTTTTGGCTGGTGGTTTCCTCTGTTCCTCTGATTACAGCAGGTTAAATTAAACTGTTTTAAGTTTAATATATGTTATAGCGATGAGAACTGGGTTGGTTGTATAAAGCACTGAGATTCATCTCTATAAACAATGTTTACTTCTATCAGAAAAAAATATGTGGGCAAATTATGTTTTTGAAAAATGAAGATATTCTTTCTTATTAACAGGCTGAATAAGAAACATTAATCTTGACTATTAACGCTATTGGAAAAATGCAGAGAACAGTCTATCAAGAACAGCATTTTTAAAGCATTAGAATGCATTTCATTTTAATCTTATTAGCTCATGAAATGATGAAGCCACACCACAACAATCAGATTCTGGGGAAGGTTTTCATTTCTTTTCTGTGTTTCACTGTATATTACTTTTAAAAAATACTCAAAATCATATTCTTTTCTGGTTCACGCTTCCCTTAAAGCAAAGAAAGATGATTAGATAGTTTCAGTTAAAGCTATTTTATTAAGGTGCTACTGGAAGCCAATAAAAGCAAAAAGAAATAATGCAGGATTTGGGTGAATAAAGATGGACTCAGGTGATGTGAATCTGCATCTAGGCATAGCTAAGAGTGACTTTCTGACAAAGGCACATGAGTGTGTATGCGTGTGCACACACACACACACACAGATTGATTGGTGTTTTCTAAACTGAGAGCAGTTGTTTAGGAAGTATGCCTGAGGATGTACTTGGCAATAAACTTGACAGCCAGCATAGTCTCTTTACAGGTTGATTTTATCCGAGATTCTGGAAGGAGAAAACCAAATCTGCCTTTATCACGGAGCTCAAAGGCAAATGTGTGTTTGATGCCCAGATTGTAAGCCCAGTCTAAAGAAGAACCTGATGTCGGGTCTGCAAAACATAAGCAGTAAATATTTAATTAGAGTCAAACGCTAACGCTTTTTTTTCTTGAAATGGAAATCACTGGTGTAAAATTAGCAATAAAAAATAATTATGTGTACAGTTAACTGCAGTAAAGAATGAGAATCATGGTCTGAATAGTACAGAGTGCATGGTAAAACATAATCGTGAGTTTGTAATTCACTACACAGTTTACATATGTGCTGCTTTTAGAAAGTCACATTTTGTTTGGGTCAGTACTAAATTGACTTTATTTTCTGGGTACATTTGGCTGCTGTCATCGGTGTTCTGAGCAAATACAAGCAGCTGAGGAAATCCACTGTGAGTCACTGGTGGTTGAAAGCCACCAAGGAAACTTCACACACAAGCTCTGTAAGAGCTTAATCTCTCCATATCCATGTTATTAAGGTGAACCATTTTATAGTCAAAAGGCCAGGAAGGCTTAAATTTTTTTTTTAAGTAGGTATTTAATTCCTTATTTCAAAATTCCCATGTCAGGCTTACAGTATAATTCATTTTCCCATGTTAGGTTTAGTTTTACGAAAGATGTTATTATTTGGTAGAATATTGAAAACATGTACATCTAGATGTTATATATATATATATATATATATATATATATATATATATATATATATATATAATCACACGCATAGAGGTTACATAATAAATATAAGTACATACACATATTGTAAATGCATTTAGGTATATTTAACTTTATGTAGTAAAATGTATTCTTATATGTAAAATTATGTTCTAGGACAGGTAACAAGCTTAGCTGATATTAACAGTGTGGGTTTGGAAGGTAGGATTTCAAAACTGTGAAGAGGAAAGAAAGAGGAATATTTGGTGGGCAGAGAGAGTTGGCTCTCAAGTCAGCCAATAAATATTTATTGAGCATTTAATGTGTCCAACTCAGGGTACTTGGCCCTAGAGAGGGTGGGTGGTATAAAGTACTTGATCCAATTCTGTGACTCTTTTATCCCACAAAATTCTTCAGGAAGTTACAGATTAGGGGAGAGATGTCAAGTTCCCAGTCTATATGCGAGTAAACCTGGAAAGGAACAATGGCTTATAGAGATTTATAAGAAGAAACAGGGTGCTTGGTGAGGAGATGACATTTCACAACATGCTTGTCAATGGCGATGGGTCACCTGGTGCCTTCAGGTGTCAAATGGGGGATGATGGCCTGAAGGGATGGAGAGGGATTCCTGGTGAGAAAGGGTCAGAAGGAAGAGGAGGGACCCGGAGGGAGAATCTTGGGGAAAAACCTGTGCATTGTGCCCTGTTTGTCAAAACATCTATTTTAGAGGTGGTCACCAGAGACAGGGAAGAAAGAGGAGAAAGCAAAGGAGAACCAGGCAAGTGCAAAGCTTTAAGGGAGCTGAGGAATGGCAGGAAAAGGGCCCAGGAAGTCACTGCCCCTGGGAATCATGCAGCAGTGAGCTGAGAAACATGTCCAGGATTCTGGAAGACTGCATTTTTAGCTGGTTGGGTTTAAATCCATTAGGAAGAAAGCACAAGAAGAGTTCAGTAGGAAAGAAGATAAGGTCAAGAGGTATTGTGTCTGGTGTAGCAATTCAGAGTGTGCAATGAACTTGGCCAGATTTTAGCTGTGTCAACTCTCCATTTGCAGTTGATTGAACTGCTGTGATTTCAAAGGGTGAGAGGATATGGCTATTCCATTTCCAGAGCTTTGCTTTATGTGAAATTTCTCATTAAGATTAACAGTGGTGACTGAGAATATATGTAATTTGTGATTTTTCATAATTGTGTGATGTTATAGAGTATAATACATTTCTTTTACGATGCCACTTTGTGCATCTTCTAGACAAATTTACAAAACAAGAACTATATTAAAGCATATAATAAAGGCAATATTGAAAGCTTTTTGCTCATAAGAATATATTATTCTAGAATGTAATTTGCTGAACATGATAGTCTTTTATTTAGCTCCATGTGTACTCATTAAGTTATAGCATATATTTATAAAATATAATAACTATCACTTCTCTAAATATCAGGCACCCTTCTAAGTGATTTCTGCATGGTTAAATCATTTTAATTAATTCCTATCCTAACTTATTATGTAAGTACCACTTTGTAGAAGAGGAATTTAGGCACAGAGGGATTAAAGAACTTTCTGAAAGACATAGTTGATAGATGCTTGAATCAGGATTCAAACCAGGCTGTGTGTCTTCAGAGTTCATGCTGTTAATCACTGTGTTTTACTACTTCCCTTGTGCCAATCTATAGTCCATCCAATAAAGTCTTCTATTAGTTCTAGAAGATAATTTATTCTTAACACATTAACAACACATTCTTAACATCTCAACTTTTGGAAATAAATCACTTCCTATTCCTTTCAAAGAACACACTAGAAGCAAGGGACTTACTGTAATGCAGTCAAAACGAATAAAAAGGAAACTGTACCAAGCTAGGAATCTGATTCCAGTGCAAAGGAATCCATATAGAATGATGCTTGTGACTTAATATGGGCTGTGTCTACTACTTACTTGATATGGAATTTTCTAGAAAACTGTAAAATTTTGCAAAGTATTATTGAAATGCATTACATATAATGACCTGCATTGACATAGCAAAATTAAGTGAAAATTCTATTTTAAGTGAAAGCTGAAGCCAGAGATATATGAGTGTAAATTAAAATATTTTTTTCTGCCCTTCTGGTGCCCCACAATGTCATCTCAGTTTGAATGTCTCTTAGGAAGTAGAGATTGGGTGTCCTAGTCTATGAGTTTCAACTTTCTTGTTTTCAAAACGTAGCATGGCATAGAATATGGAAAGGAGCGCTGGCTGAGAAGGAGGAGCACATTTAGCATTTGGTGCGTGGAGAAAGCAGCAAGAAGGGCACTTTGGAATCAGCTTTGTAATTCATGATGTGACTCCCAGGTAGATGTTACCAATGATGCAAGCTAGCTGGTTCCTATCAATTCAAATAACTATTTGTGCTCTCTAAGGACTGTATGTGGTTATCTTTAAGATGGTGGAGGATTGGATATGATGTTAATATCAATGCAGACATTTCACAATCTTTTAACATCATTATTTACACAAGGGTCCATCTAAATATGGATGTTTTGGGGCTGAATAGTTGGCATAACATTTTCWCTCTTGTCTGAAATGCTCATTTTTGTTCTTCTTCTGCCCTGAAGTGATGGAATCTTACTATAATTCAGTTTCTTAGACTCTAAAGGAGGGTTGAGCCTAGATCAGTGTTTCCTGACCCTACTTTCATCTTAGAATTGTTTTGTGTAGCTTAAAAAAATGCAAATGCCTGGGCTTCACCCCAGATGGGTGGAATCAGATTCTCTGGGTCCCCCAAGCAATTTAAAAGCTCCCTGATGATTCTAATGGGAAGTCAGGCTCAAGGACCATGGACTACATCATTTCTTCAGTTGCCCCCTGGGTTCTAACACTTGCCATTTTAACTTCTGTGTTATATTTGCTTCTTAGGTTCAAATATTTCTTTTCTYCTGAGGGCCAGAGATCTCTCCATGATGTGGGCTTGAAACATGTCTACAGAGTCCTTTTCTTCTACCCTCATCAAATCAGAGAGGAAAATACTGGCAAGAGCTGGTGGTTTCCCAAATCCTGGGACTTGTTAAGTGACAACCAGGACACTGGGATGACTAAACTYCAATCACGAGGTGCTTTCATTTCCTATTCTTACCAAGTCAACTGCTTTGCTACTCTCTGCTTTCTCATGAATGTTTGATTAACATTCAATTAGATGCTTTATTAAAGCAGTTACTCCTAGAAATTTTGGACATCTATTGAGCTGCCTCAGCCTTATAGGAAAGAGGCAATTCTTTCCAAATCTGAATTTCTGAAAAAACTGTTTTAGTATAATATAATAAATTAAAAAAAGACACTTGCTCACAGGTGAATAGGATAGCACTCCCTCTTGACCCCATCCTCCCATTTTGAAAGGGACACAGGATGGCACAGAGCCATTGTTCCCTTGTCTGCCTGCTCCTTCCAGGCAGGAGGGTTTTTCATTGAGAGCAGGTACTATGTCTTCACTCTCCCCTGTCCCCCAAAGCTCAAAGATGCCAGGCTTTAAGTTGGCCTCCTGAGAATTCTTGTTCACTGAGAGATTGTGATGGAATGGTGACACCATGCCATGTCCGACTCCAGAGCTCTTTCACGTGTGCATGTATGCACACAGATAATCCTCTGATGCTCTCATTGCCTTTTGCAAACTTGGCTACTATTTGGAAGCCCTTGTTCCTTGCCCCCAGGAACATCTGCATGTCTTCCCTGCTCAGAGGAGTGGCTCTTACCTGATCCCTGGGAGCCGTACCTAGCCCTCCTCTTTCTCAGTTTCTACTTTGTAGGCGGCCACTTAAACTGATGTGCCAGTCTCTCTTGTTCTTTATCTCACTCACTTTCTGTCTACTCATGTAGCTGGGTATATATCACCTGTGTTTTAATTTTTTTTTTGTTATTCATCTGCAAGTGCAATGACACCCAGCATAGGCTTTGAGGTAGTAGGATCTTTTTGGATGAGGGGTTCATGTGTGTCACTTTTGCTTCAGCCCTTTAGCAATGACTATTTGATAGGTGATTGCTGATGAATGCTCTTACAGGACTTGTCTGTTTTTTTTTTTTTTGGTCATTTTTCCAATTCTAGCAAAGGAACTTCCAACAATTAAACTTTACAAATGATATGTGATGACTCTTGTAGTTTAAAATTCCACAGCAATTATTGAGAACACAGATCATTAGTTGCCATGTTTATACTCCTAGCTTGGGTAAAGGAAATGGTTGTGGATAAGTCAGGTACCCCTCCCATTGTGTGAGTTATGGGAGTAAATTMTGCAGTGTTCCATGCCCTGCTCTGGGCTGTGTGTTAGGGGTATGATGAGACATTGGAAGCATTATCCTTACTTCTGAGGAATTAAGTTTGGTTAAAAACTTTGGGATTTGTAAATAGTCTTATGGAGGAATTTTCTGTAAAGTTTGGAAATAGTAAGAGCTAAATCTTGAACTTGGTTTGGTGGAAAAAGAAATTTTTATTAAAGTCTTCCCAAACTAAGGTCAGTGAGAGGTTTCTATAAAGAAGAAATTATCTTACTTCCCAGGGTCAGAATTAATGGTCTTGGGTGAAAATCAAATGAATTGTTGTTGATTTTGTTGCTTGAAAATAAAAAGCTCTGTTATTTCCGTTACAAAAACCAAATGACAGAGTAATATGCACAGTGGGTCAAGATGGTCTGGTTTTGCTAAAGCCTGGAATTGAGTCCTGGATTTGCCAATTTCTAGAAATGGTACATAGTACTGCTCACTTCGTAGGGATTCATGAAGACTAATTGAGATCATGAAATCCAAAGGCTAAGTACAGGGCTAATCTGTAAGAAAATATCAATAAACTGGTACAGATAGCACTGAGTGTATAGTATGAGGGTTGGAAAATTATGGTCATTCTCCTGCTTTGGTAATGAGGTTTTATGGGAACATAGTCATGCACATTTGTTAACTTATCATCTGTGGCTGCTTCTGAGCTAAATGCTCTAGTTGAGTAATTGCAGCAAAGCCAAGACTACTAACTAGCCCTTTGCAGAAAAAGTTTGCTAATTCCTTGTGCATGGAATACGTGACAAAAATAATCTAGACCAAGAATTCTAAGTTAGCAATTCAAGAACATACAAAACAATGAAATTATAAAAATAGTGAAGAGTAAGAGGTGGTGCTGAGAATATAAAACAAGAGCAATAGAATTAGATCCCATGGTAGACTTTCCTATTCCACCATACAAGTACCAGTTGACCCTGATGAGAAGGGCAGGTTGGAGGGACAAGTAACTGGCTTTCCGTGTTAAACATGGATGAAACTGAATGTGCATCCATTTTCCCACCAGGAATTAGAGGAGAGATTGTGCTTTCATGGAGATAATGCCACGGAAGAAAGAGTCTGGTTAAAATTAAATAGTTAAAAAAGAACAGGAAGGTGGATGGATTAAATTAAGCTGTGAATTTGTATTCATTTAATCATTTCTGTCAACCTCATAACCTTGTAAAAGTTCAAACAAGTTCATATTGTCTGTGTCAGGAAAATCTTTCCCCCCAAACAGGCATAATCTAGCTCTTAGATTCACACATAATTCAGAATCTCCTGTGAAAATTGGAGTTCAAATGAGTAATTCCAGATTCCTACTCCCAATTTATAAGTTTTATAATTTTCTTTCATATTTATAAAAAAAAGTTAGGAAAAAGTCAAAGTGATAAGAAAAACTTACAAGCTGTCGATGCTATTGGGCCATAAATGTACTGGGTTTCATATCGAGTTGATAGAACATCAGTGCCAATCCTAGCAACTTTGGCCTGAAGAGAAAAGTTAGAAAGGAATAATAGAGAACTATGTAAATACCACTAATTTTCTAGGGATTAAAAAATCAATTTTATAGGTTGTTTGGCATTTGAAGATCAAAATAAACGATTAAATGACTTATTCTCATTCGGGTAAGTTGTCATAACCAGGACTTCTAAATGTGAAATCAATTATAGACAGTGACACTGTATCTCATTTTGTGTTTTTGTCTTTCTTCCATCTCTGCCTTCCCTTTCTTTTATAGGATGCCGTCTTGTTCTCTCACACACATGGCTGCGGGACTTTCTCCACTCATCTGACTTAATTTTGCCCAAGGAGGAAGGATTGTTGATTCCTCTTTAAAGTAGTTCTATTACATTAAGGTTTCACCTCCAGAGTGGCATATCATGATCTTTAATAAACATTAGTGTTTTGTGTTATAAGAATGATTGTTGCAATGAACTTTAATGGAATATAGTCACTCACATATTTGTACTCTAAATGAAGATTTCTGTAAGTCTACATATAACTAAGAAATAGATCAATGATTAATTAGTTTTCTGTGTAAGAACTTTTGCTTAAAATAAATGGTCACTGTTGTGCATATATATATATATATATATATATATATATATTTTTTTTTTTTATTCCTAACCTAATTTTCTTAAATATAATGCTAGTGTTCTGAATACAGTTGGCTGAGGTCAAAAGGAAAATTGATACCTCTTTTTTATTTCTAAATGAACTGTTTGAGGCAGCATTTGAACCACATCTTTTACTGAATGTGTTATATTTGCTAACCACAGAGGGAACCAGGGYATTGATCCTTATCAACTTTATTTCTTTCTTCTGTAGCCATTCAAGGTATTTATCTACCTATCCAACCATTTATCTTGTCAGTTCCTGTGATTCATTGAAACTCACAGGCAGACATGATCAAATCAGCTTTCATGGAAAGACAAATAACAGGTTCAAGTGATCACACTTTTTAGGAAAGAGAGTATTCCTAGTGACAAAGCTTCACAACATTCAGGATGTTCTTTCTTTAGATAGAGAGTTAATATCATTTCTAATTTGATTGGTAGGATAGAAATACAACAGATCTTCTTAAATATGGTACCTGGGGAACAGAGCTATTGGGCTGTGGCTGTGTSGTTTTATAGAATGGCCCACGGTAAATACTGAGCTATATAGTGGTAGAATTCTGCTCTAGAAGCCAAACATTTATTTTTCTTTTCTTTTTCTTTTTTTCCTTAGAATCACATTGAAAGATGTTATTATCTATATACTTTTATCAGATGAGAAATTAAAGATCATCATTTCAAATCCCCAGCAAACTTCATTAGTTTGCGTCCTAGGTGTTGAATTGTGAAGTTCCTTCAGCGTAACCCAAGTTAATGAAGAACAGATTGAAAGTCAGTGGTGGTGCCCCCGATAAACCACAGATTGTTCTCTACCTACCAGGTCCTCGTGGTTGGGTGGCAGCTTTAATGTGTAGCCGTAGGGAAACAGTAGCATCTGGGAGTAGGAATGGAAGGAGATGTAGGCCCTGATTGATTTCAGGTGGCTTCGAATGAAGTCAGCAACAGCTTTTGTCTCTTTCTCCGACTCTGGAGCAGGGCCCCGATAGGTGTCCTGACATGGGTCATCGGTGTTAGGAGAAGCTGCCGGGGACACGGGTGGACAAGATCACCATCTAGTCTCCATCAGGACAGCCTGCCTGTCTGATGTGGGCTCCCGAAATGTTTTAAGCTCTTTGGTCTCCCCCTGTTTACAGGGCTGCCTCAAGGTCTCCTGTCCCATGGTCCCTCCTGTGTCATGGCACGCTAACTTTGTCCTGTCGAACAGACTTGGTCCACTGCAATATCAGCCACGTTTACATCCTCTTCCTTTCCCTGGGCTCTGGGAAAACGCATCAGGAGTGTCCCAGTTCCTAGAGCCAGAGAGACCCTGGTTCCAGCTCAACTCCAGCTCTRTCTCCTAGGGWCCTGTTGTAACCTGCCTTCTCTCAGCCTGACTGTCCCCAGCCGTYTTTCAGTAGGAAGTTCTCAATCAGTGGTCACTGCTGCGATTATTCTACTCATTATGGCAGAACAGAGTYAAAMGCTAAGGTGACGTTTTTAAGCAAATTAGGCAAAGAAGAAACACATAAATTGGAGCGATCTTAACTTCTCCTGAAAGTCCTAGTGATAAGTCCCAGTTGTGCCCCTGCATGCTGTATTGGATGCAGCTGCCTCTGCTTATCATCTCATTTCCATCAAATGTCTATGTGTAATTCACAAGCTGTTACCTTGCATTTTTAAAAAATGTTCCTAGTGTCAGAGTTTTAAAATTTTTTTTTGTCCCAGATGTTTCTTTCCACTAAGTATTTGAAGAATGACTTGATTGTTGGTTTTAATGACTGGTATTTCTCAACTTTTACCAGAGCAGGAMGGGGAGGGGAAGTGGAGGGATCCTCTGGAGTCTTATACCTCTGGATAGTGCCTGGTTTTGAAGCAAGCTCGCTACTCAGTAAGAGGCGGCTTGGTGGATAGTCTTCTCCCTACTTCCTCCCACAGAAAGACTTTCCTGATCCCTCTACAGCAGTGACAGCGACAATTATGTTGCAGTTAGTAGATAAGAAAATTAATGCACAGGAATTCCTATTACTGAAATAAGTACATGGCTCAGTTCAGTTCAGCRACTAAACGTTCAAGTGATTTTACTCAAGACTACTCACAATGCCAAGACACATTAAAATTCCTGTTGAGGTCAGTGCCCACGCACTTGGAGTTGTGGTTCTTGGAACGATTTTTTTTCCACATGCGGTCCTGTGGGATTGAATGGTGGAAGTGTTACCGAGATCACTTCGGACTTTTCAACTTGATCATCTCATATTCTCTCTGTAGGTGTCTACAGCTTTATTTGAAATCATCTAGTTAATGTGAATCCCTTTATGACTAGAAGAATGTTATTTTTTAAAAATTTTCTAATATTTTAAAAAACATGATTTTTTAATACTAACATTCCTTAGGCYTTGATGAAATAATTCAGTTAATTTATAAACTGTAGATTAGTTATCAATATTGGAAAATAATCAATGTTGCTTTGGAATTGCCTATAATCTAAATGATAATTTTATTCCATCTTTTACTATTTGTAGATTTGGATAAAAGATAAGTCAAATTGTGACCATTAGACCATAATTTTCAGAAAAGAACTTGATGTGATTGTATGTTTGAAAGTTCAGTATTARTCATTTTTAGCAATGGCAGGTCAATAAAATATCCTGTTAAAAGATGGATATACAGGTACTTGTATCTCCTTTTTATTATTTATTTAAAAATTATTATTTTATCTCAATTCCATCCCAGAGTGCCTTTAGCTTTGGAATCAATGTGYTCATTAAAATCTTTCCATAGCTTTTATTCTAGATAGAATCTGCWTTTGGCATAGCATATAATCATGCACTTCCTTTATAATAACTGTTTTATTGCATTTTTTCATGCTATTAGCTTTAGCAACAAAAATTTCATACTTCAAGAACATCTATGCAACCAGGATTAAGTCATAGTTGACTTAATCTGAAATTGGAAATATAAATTTTTCTGAATTGGAATTATCTAGCTACCCAAACCTTAAACTTATTGCATAGCCATCAAGTTATATACATGAAAAACCAGTGAACAGTATATCATTTATGTGTAGACATAAAGAGTACTACCTGTGTCCATGACCAAATATATCCATCCACGTTGAACACAGGAAGAACATAAAAATTCATTCGGTCCAAGATTTTGGTCATAATTTTGTTTTTTCCATAACTTTTTGCTGCCTGTAGGAATAGTAGGAAAAAAAAATTAAAATTAGGCTACTGGTGTGAAATKTAGCTACCAGGAGGAAAGTTGTGGTTCTAGTATTAGCTATCTTTCCTTGAGTCATTTGCCCAAGGTCAAATGATTTCAAACACATTTTTTTCCCCAGAAACTGCACAGATTACAGAAAACAGCCCAATTTAGACTAATGAGATTAATTGAAATAAAAATTCTCCAAAGGCTCAGCTATTCAGACTTGAAGCATTCCAAATATAGTATTTTT